GTATGTATGTATGTATGTATACACACACATACGGAGTGTGTGGGTGTGTTATTCATATCTCCTCTGAAATAGGCTACTGAAAGTCAAAGCTGATGGTGGAGAAACACAGCTTAGCAGCAGAGACAACCGAGAAATGTCCAGGGGCTTAATGGAGCAGCCAGTGCTGACCGACTTTCTCCCCTGAACAGTCTTTGGAAAGAAAGCAGAACCAAAACAAAGCTGCTCAAACTCAAACCATGACAGCGACCCGAAGCTAAGCAATCCCACTTCTCCTCCCACAGAAATGACTGACTGCTCAGCAGCTCCTTCTGCAGCCGATTCCTGCAAGGTGGATGCTGTGCATTCGGTACCTCAGCACCAGAAGACAGGAGAAGAGGTTTGGGAAAGAGCACTCATGGGACCCCACCCGCCCCCTTGACAGTTTAGACAAACCTTGCCATTAAACGCTAAAAACACACCAACAGTGCGATGTTTGAACGGATCACTTGCTATTGACTATCCTGTGGGTCCATTTTCATGATTTGGAATAAATGTATTATTTAAACCAAAAGTTTGGCGACATTTCTTAAGGTGTCCCTCTCTCCCTCCCACATAGGCCGGGATGTTTGACATGTTTGTTCAGTGAGTACATGAAATTATACTGCTGGCCCCACAATAGGCAGGAGTCGTAACTGGAATGTTTTTACCCTCTAGTATTAAACTCTTGTTTAACCAAAATTGCACATATGTCAAGTGGGTACCTATCATATACATTCTCACCAAAATGAAGTCAGCGGCACCACACAGGCGTCAGAACTGAAGGGTGACCTTAACGGGCCGATGAGGCGTCGTCACCTTCAGGATCTCCTTCCTCCATAAAAATAAAATATGTGTGTGTTTACTACTCAGCTGCAGTAAAAAACGAAGCCATAACTTGTGATGCCACAATTAGAATTAGAGATCTTTGTGACTGGCACTAGAGGGTAGGGTAGAAAGACTGTCCTGCAGGCCTCAGTGCGCATGTCCGCACCCCGAACCAAGGACTGACTGGCCCCAAAGGTCCGTGTTGCCGAGGTTGAGAATCCCTGCACAGGCGTCCTCCTGCAGTTCCCATCCCAGGGTGAAAACCAAGGAGATTTATTAACAGCAGGCTGCATGGGCCGCTGGCTCTACCCCTAAAATCAAAATCAGCAAACAATTGTGTTTATGAGCTTGGTCCTTTCTCCTCTGTGACCATCTAAATAACTTGACTGTATGATACCCTAGATTGGTTATTTTTATTCTCAAGAGTAAAAAGCGAATGGGCATATAGCTCAGTCGTAGAGTGCTTGCCTAGCGTATGGAAGGTACTAGGTCCAGTCCCCAGTACCACCAAAGCCCCAACAAGAAAAGTGACTTTTCCCATCAAGTAACCTGAAGCAAGTTTCGGTTACGATTTCAATCCAGAGGTAAGCAACTACCGCCCTCTGCTGGAAAATCATGTAACTGCTACATTAAGTGTGGAGACGTCAAATGAACACGGGATTGCCATTTAGCAAGTATGGGGAATCGCTCACTTTCACCTTTGAACATGTAATTGCCTCCAAGGGTGGAGAATGTATTGATTTATACAACCAACGAATATTTTAAATAATAATTTTATTCTTTGAAAATTCACACATTTATGCATAAATCCATCCACTCCTCTTGCCTTCACACGCTCTTTGGTTGTTGTTCTAATTCCCTGAGTCCAATTAGTGCTGTTCATATGCACACGGGTATGGGGACATCCCTTGTGGACATGACCAATCTACCAGTGACCATGTCCCCAAAGGACGGTGACCCTCTCTCATCAGCCATCAACCGCCAAGAGCGCTTCTGTGTAGGTAAGCACAGCTACTGTGAGTTGATACACGCACAGGTATGTCCCATCCAGTGACATTCACAGCTCTCCTCTCCTCCACTGGCTCTTACGTACTTCCCTCCCCTCTTCTAGAAGTTTACTGAGTCTTGGATAGTGGAGGTGGATAATGGATAACCTATCCAGAGCTGAACACTTGAAGTTATTTCTACTCGGCTTTTTGACCAGCTAAAGGTCTCTGCATTAACAACTCTCTGCAGCAAAAAGCAGCCTCTCTGACCACAGTTGAGAGCAGCACACATCTATGGGTAAACACGAGTATTCAGAAGGCAGTTTGACCACATGACCACTCAGCAAAACAACAGCAGTGGGTCCCCCTTAGGGTCTCTGATCTCCTCAGCCTTGGGCTTCTGACCTGGCTTAGAGGACTGGGCATGACATTCCTCCTCTTTAGCAAGCCCCAGATCCAATCAGAAAGCAGTTTTATACCCTTAGAAATGTCATGCCACAACTACACCAATGGGCATATGTTGCCAGCAGGTCAGTATCATAACTTGCAGAGTCCAATGCTGAGTAAGACATTGATGAATCCCCCCCCCCCCCCACAAGAAGCCTGTAAAGCACTTCCGGTACTATGTAAGCTGGTTAGCAGGGGCAGGGTTTCCTGGTCAGTGTAGATTGATCTCTTTATGACTGCATCCAAAGTCAGGGTCTTTTTAGCAAGAGTCTTACTATCTAGCTATGGTGGGCAGCCAAGAGCAATGGTAATAGCTTGTGTTATTTTGGGAGCCTCCCGGGCCTCCATGACCAGTACTCATAGGGAGATAACACGTGGTAGGCACTGAGATTTTTCTATAACAGTCAAGGTCTTCTGGGAGCAGCGTTGTCCTCCCAGGGTACTTCTGTTTAAATTCTTCTTTTAAAAATATTTTAATTTGCTTACAAACTGGTGGATTTCCATAAAAGTTCTTCACGTATCCTTAGTTTGGTCTAACTACCAGCTACCCTCTTCCTTCAGCTACCCTCTTCCTTCCCCAATCCGCCTATAGCCACGTCAGCTTTCACCTTGAATATCTCCCCATTTCCTCTCATGTCACTTGTGTTGTACGATCCCTCTCTAACTGAGGTTTGTCTTGGGTTAGAAATCACAGGTTTCCATATAGCCTTTTCATGCTCCCTTCATTTTGGTTAAGGCTTCCACTAACATCTCATTTCTCCATTCCCTTTACATTTCTTTCTTATATAGGACCCACATGGTTTATGTGTTATTTGATGATGATGAAACATTCTGTCCCTCTCTAGGAGAGTGGCATTAATGAATGAAACAGTATCAAAGTTTAACGATAGTACACAGAAGTAGATCCTAGGATGCCTTAAAAATATTTTTTTTTATTTTGATGGGCTAGAGAGATGGCTTAGTGGATAAAGTGCTTGTCATGTAAGCATGCTCAATTTCCAAAATCCTCATTAAAAAAAATTCCATGCTTGGTGGTGCATGCTTATAACCGCAGTGCTGGGGAGGTCTTTTGGATTCTTTGGGCTTGCTGGCCAGCCTGCCTGGCCTAGTTGAACAGTACCAGGTCAGCCAGAGACTCACAAAACATGACAGACAGCACCTGAGGAATGACACCTGATGTTGTCTTTGGCCTCCACATGCATGCACACATACATGCATACACACCAGCACACTCACATACATACATACATACACACACACACACACACACACACACACACACACACACACACACGCCTGTGAGCACATATATACATATCTTTTTGCTATCCCACGGTAAAATTTATTTACCCTGCAGGCAGGCTTCCCCACCAACACCCCCCACCAGACTCTTCAATCTACAAGACCCACTCCCTACCCCAAACCCACCCATCCCCCTGTGATCTCAGCAGTTCCCTAAGACACAGAATCTGCCAGCTCTGATTGGACCAAGAGCAGCTCCCTGAGACACAGAATCCGCCAGCTCCAATTAGACCAAGAGTTCCGATTGGTCCAAGAGCACAGATTGGACCAAGAGCAGCTCCCTCAGACCTGAACATCACAATGTAGAAGAAGCAGAAGAAAGTGACCTTAAAAATAACTCTATGAAGATAATAGAGGCCTTTAAAGAGGAAATGAAAAATTCCCTTAAAGAAACCGAGGAAAAGACAAACAAAAAATTGGAAGAAATCAATAAATCCCTTAAAGAAAGCCAAGAAACCCAAGAAAAAGCAATTAAACAGGTGAAGGAAACAGTTTAAAACCTGAAAATTGAAATAGAAGCAATGAAGAAGACCCAAATCAAGACAATGCTGGAAATGGAAAATCTGAGTAAACGAACAGGAACTAGAGATGCAAGCATAACCAACAGAATACAAGAGATGGAGGAGAGAATCTCTGGTGTGGATGACACAATAGAGGAAATAGATTTGTCAGTTAAAGAAAACACTAAAGCCAAAAAAGTCATAACACAAAACATCCAGGAAATCTGGGACACCATGAAAAGACCAAACCTAAGAATGATAGGGATAGAAGAAGAAGAATACCAACTCAAAGGCACAGAAAATAATTCAACAAAATTATAGAAAAAAATGTTCCCAACCTAAAGAAAGAAATACCTATGAAGATACAAGAAGCTTATAGAACACCAAATAGGCTGGATCAACAAGCTAGACAAACCCCTATCCAAAATAACCAAAAGGCAGAGAGAGAGCATTAAAAAATCAGAAATGAAAGGGGAGACATAACAAGAGACAATGAGGAAATCCAGAGAATCATCAGGTCATACTTCAAAAACCTGTACTCCACAAAATTGGAAAATCTAAAAGAAATGGACATTTTTCTGGACAGATACACATACCAAAGTTAAATCAAGACCAGATAAACAATTTAAATAGACCAGTAACCCCTAAGGAAATAGAAACAGTCATTAAAAGTCTCCCAACAACAACAACAAAGCCCAGGACCAGATGGTTTCAGTGCAGAATTCTACCAGAATTTCAAAGAAGAGCTAATACCAATGCTCTTCAAACTATTCCACACAACAGAAAACAGAAGGAACAATAACACACTCTTTTTATGAGGCTACAGTTACCCTGATACCCAAACCACACAAAGATGCAACAAAAACAATTACAGACCAATCTCTTTCATGAACATTGATGCAAAAATACTCAATAAGAAGGAAGTTAGGCGCAGAACCCCAGGTCGCGGTGGCGAGGGACTCGGACCCGATGGCGACCCCAGAGGCCAGCGGCAGCGGCGGGAACGGCGAGGGCAGCGACCCCTCCGTCACCTACTTCCGGCTGGAGGAGGTGGCGAAGCGGAACTCCGCGGAGGAGACGTGGATGGTGATCCACGGGCGAGTCTACGATATCACCCGCTTCCTCAGCGAGCATCCTGGTGGGGAAGAGGTTCTGCTGGAACAAGCTGGTGCTGATGCAACGGAAAGCTTTGAAGATGTTGGCCACTCCCCTGATGCCAGGGAAATGCTAAAGCAGTACTACATTGGTGATGTCCATCCGAGTGACCTTAAACCTAAAGGTAGTAACAAGGATCCTTCAAAGAGCAGTACGTGCAAAAGTTGCTGGGCATATTGGATTCTCCCCGTCGTGGGCGCTATTCTTGTAGGTTTCCTGTATCGTCACTTCACGAGCGACAGCAAATCCTCCTGAGGAGACCGTGCTGAAGTGTGGGAGCGCATGCTCCAGGGAGTGAGAAGTAGAGACTGACTTTGGAGGCTGCAGCAATGCTCCCTCCTTGAATCCTGCCAGTTCCCCCACTTGAAGCCAAGATGGTTGACCAGATGTCTATCCTCCTTCGATCTAGGACCAAGGTCCTTCGCCAGCCAGAGCCTGATGCCCAGAGCAGCTACTCACATTGTGTCCTTGCCAGGGTTTCTTCTCACTGGCTTCCACTTGTTCCCTTCATTTCAAGAGTTAATACTGATGATTAGCGTTCCTGTGTTGTATTGACACGGCCTTTAGGGACAAGATATGATTTCTGATACTTTGAATTTGCATTAGATATATTTAAGGGAACAGTACTCTAGTTTTGAATCTTTTCCTGTTTTTCTTTTAAGTAAATTTATTTTTTTAATTCTGATTTAATTTTGACATTTATCATAAGGGGTTTAATTCATGAAGTTAAGATGTGTCTCTCTTAGTTAAAACATAGCTGCCAATTATCTTATTTATGATTATTAAAAGTAAGGGGCCTGAAAGATAGATCTTAGGGTAAAAGCAATTGCCACAAAGCCTGATGACCTGAGTTTCATTCCCTGGACCCACATGGTAAAAGGAGAGAATCAATTCCCAAAAGTTGTTTTCTGACCTCCACATGGATGCTGTGGCCCTAGTGTACACGACAGGTACACACTTTTAGACATAACACACACAGGCACAGGCCAAGCACACATTAAACAAATGTAATTTAAAAAACATATACAAAAAAAATAAAAATTAAAAAAAAATACTCAATAAAATAATGCCAAACTGAACCCAAGAACACATCAAAAAATTATCCACCATGATCAAGTAGGCTTCATCACAGAGATGCAAGGATGGTTCAACATACAAAAATCTGTTAATGTAATACACTATATAAACAAACTGAAAGAAAAAAACCACATGATCATCTCATTAGATGCTGAAAAAGCCTTTGACAAAATCCAACACACCTTTATGATAAAGGTCTTGGAAAGATCAGGAATACAAGGAATATACCTAAACATAATAAAGCAATTTACAGCAAGCTGGCAGCCAACATCAAATTAAATGGAGAGAAACTCAAAGCAATTCCACTAAAATCAGGAACAAGACAAGGCTGTCCACTCTCCCCATATCTATTCAATGTAATACTCAAAGTTCTAGCTAGAGCAATAAGAAAACAAAAGGAGATCAAGGGGATACAAATAGGAAAGGAAGAAGTCAAACTTTCGCTATTTGCAGGCAATATGATAGTATACATAAGTGACCCCAAAAAGTCTATCAGGGAACTCCTACAGCTGATAAACACCTTCAGTAAAGTGGCAGGATACAAGATTAACTCAAAAAACAATCAGTAGCCCTCCTATACACAAGTGATAAAAGGGCTGAGAAAGAAATCAGAGAAACATCTCCCTTTACAATAGCCACAGCTAATATAAAATACTTTGGGGTAACACTAATTAAACAAGTGAAGGAGCTGTATGATAAGAACTTTAAGTCTCTAAAGAAAGAAATTGAAGCCGGGCGGTGGTGGCGCACGCCTTTAATCCCAGCACTCGGGAGGCAGAGCCAGGCGGATCTCTGTGAGTTCAAGGCCAGCCTGGGCTACCAAGTGAGTTCCAGGAAAAGGCGCAAAGCTACACAGAGAAACCCTGTATCGAGAAACAAAAACAAAACAAAACAAAAAAAAAAAAAAGAAAGAAATTGAAGAAGATATCAGAAAACGGAAAGATCTCCCACGCTCATGGATAGGCAGGATTAAAATAGTAAAAATGGCAATCTTACCAAAGGCAATCTACAGATTCAATGCAATCCCCATCAAAATCCCAACACAATTCTTCACAGACTTGGAAAGAACAATACTCAACTTCATATGGAAAAACAGAAAACCCAGGATAGCTAAAACAATCCTGTACAATAAAGCAACCTCTGGAGGCATCACCATCCCTGACCTCAAGCTCTACTATAGAGCTATCATAATAAAAACAGCTTGGTATTGGCATAAAAATTGACATGTAGACCAATGGAATTGAATTGAAGACCCTGACATTAATCCACACACATATGAACACCTGATTTTTGACAAAGAAGCCGCAACTGTACAATGGAAAAAGAAAGCATCTTCAACAACAAATGGTGCTGGCATAACTGGATGTCAACATGCAGAAGATTGCAAATAGATCCATATCTGTCGCCATGCACAAAACTCAAGTCCAAGTGGATCAAAGACCTCAACATAAATCCAGTTACACTGAACCTGATAGAAAAAGTATAAAGTAGCCTTGAATGCATTGGCACAGGAGACCACTTCCTAAATAGAACAATAGCACAGACACTGAGAGAAACAATTAATAAATGGGATCTCCTGAAACTGAGACGTTTCTGTAAGGTAAAGGACATGGTAAATAAGACAAAAAGACAGCCTACAGAATGGGAAAAGATCTTCACCAATCCCACATCTGACAGAGGGCTGATCTCCAAAAATATATAAAGAACTCAAGAAACTAGACATCAAAATACTAAACAATCCAATTAAAAAATGGGCTACAGATCTAAACAGAAAATTCTCAACAGAAGTATCTCAAATGGCTGAAAGACATTTAAGGAACTACTCAACATCCTTAGTCATCATGGAAATGCAAATCAAAATAACTCTGAGATACCATCTTACACCTGTCAGAATGGCTAAGATCAAAAACACTGATGACAGCTTATGGTGGAGAGGATGTGGAGCAAGGGGAGCACTCTCCATTGTTGGTGGGAATGCAAACTTGTACAGCCACTTTGGAAATTAGTATGATGGTTTCTCAGAAAATTGGGAATCAATCTACCTCAAGACCCAGCTATACCACTCTTGGTCATATACCCAAGGAATGCTCAATCATACCACAAGGGCACTTGCTCAACTATGTTCATAGCAACATTATTTGTAGTAGCCGGAATCTGGAAACAACCTAGATGCCCCTCAACCAAAGAATGGATAAAGAAAATGCGGTACATATATACAATGGAGTACTACTAAGCAGTAGAAAACAATGACATCATGAAATTTGCAGGCAAGTGGATGGAACTAGAAAACATCATCCTGAGTGAGGTAACCTAGACTCAGAAAGACAAACATGAGCCTTCATTGAGTAACTGATGGAAGCAGATGCAGAAATCCACAGCATCAGGGTAAGCTCCAGGAGTCCAGTCTAGGAGAGGGAAGAGGGATTCTATGAGCAAGGGGCATCAAGATCATCATGGGAAAGCCTGCAGAGAAAATTGAACCAAGCTAGTGGGAACTCATGAACTAGACTAACAGCTGTGGAGCCTCAATGGGACTGGACTAGGCCCTCTGCATAAGTGAGACAGTTGTGTAGCTTAGTCTGTTTAAGGGGCCCCCTGGCAGTAGGATCAAGATCTATCCCTGGTGCATGAGCTGGTTTTTTGGAGCCCATTACCTATGGTTGGACACTTTGCACAGCCTTGATGAAGGGGGAGGAGCTTGGGCCTGCCTCAACTGAGTGTACCAGGCTTTGCTGACTCCCCATGGGAGGCCTTACCTTTTCGGAGGAGGGAATAGGGGGTGGGTTGGGGGGGAAGGCTGGGGGTGGTGAGAGGAGGGGAAAGAGGGGTATCTGTGTTTGGTATGTAAAATGAATAAAAAATTTCTTAATAAAAAAAAAGAGTGCACCACCGCCCTGCTGAAACTATTTTAATTACAGCATGTCCCGCTTCCGTTTCCTCCCTTCAACCCCTCTCATATACCCTTCCCTGTTCTTCAAATTCATGGCCTCTTTTTTATTAGTTGTATTGCATGCATATGTGTATTTGTGGATACACAAATATAGCCTATCACACATATTTTTGATAATCTAAATCTGATGGGGAATGGGCTGGAGAAGTGGCCCGAGGGTGTTATATTCCCTGGAGCTGGAGTTACAAATGGTTGTGAGATACCTGACGTGGCTTTTCTTCAAGAACAGTAAATGCTCTTAACCACTGGGCCATCTCCCCACGCCCAGTACTACATGTTTTAAAGACTTTGAGCAGTATGAAAGGACAACCAATGCAAAGGAAGTCTTCCTCACTCCTGGATCCAGAGGTGGACACTGTTATCCATTCTGCATATCTGCCCAGGGCTAGCCAGTGCACAGACACGCACAGATACTATGATAGTTAATTTTATGTATCAACTTGACTGGGCCACAGGATGCCCAGAGAGCTGGTTACACATTGTTTGTGGGTGTGCCTCTGTGTTACTCACTTTCCTTGTCACTGTAACCAAATACCTGACCAGAAGCATCTTGAAGGAGGAAATATCTATTTTGGCTCATGCTTTGAAGAGATACAGCCCACCACCACAGCAGGGAAGGTGTGGAGGCGGGAGCATGCAGCAGCTTATTTACATCGTAGTAGATAGGGAAGTACGGCGATAAGTCAGACGTTCAATCCCTTTCTTCTTTTCCTTTTTTATCTTATCCAAACCCCAGCCCATGAGACGGTGTCACCCACATTCAGGAGGTGTCTCCCCCCCGCCCAGTTAATATTTGAAATGTTCTCCCAGACACACTAAATCTTCTACGTGATTATAAGTCTAGTCAGGTTGGCACGATGAACTATTTCAAGTCTTCCTTTGTCAACCTGACATTCAAATGTGTCACTTTAATCCATATTATTTCATACTTGGCTCTCATAGGCTCATGGCTATCTTACAATGCAAAATGCATTTAGCCCAATTTCAAATGTCCCCATAGTCTTAACAGTGACGACACTGTTCAGAAGACCAAAGTCCCTTCTGATACTCAGGGAAATTTCTTCATTTTCCTCTAAAAATTAAAAAAAAAAAAAGTTACATCTTTCTAACACACAAGGGCACAAAGTAAACACTACATGAAAGGGAGGAGGGAGGGAGAAGGGCATCAGACGCCTGCAGGTGTGTGCCCAGTGTCAGGGGCTTGGGCAACCCCACCTCTCCAGCTCACAGTGTGGAAACATGGAGGCAGCTTTAGGTGGCCAGGAGCATGTGGCCCCTTACATCTCAGCAGACCATGAATGTTGGGACTCAGCTCACTTTTTCCTTTTTCCTCTTCTCTTCCACCCAAGGCGGCAACCTGTAGGCTGGATTTTTTTTTCTTGACATGATGGTCTCTGATTCCATGGATAGGGCCATTTTTGAGAATGCTGATTTGAGTCTCTGGTCTCTCTCCTGCAGAGTTGTGCCATTTGATTCAACCTAAAAAAGCATGTGCTCTTCCAGTTCCCTTCTTCCTGTCTCCCAGACAACTCTCTACAAGGTCAGTGGAAATGGCTGTGAGTTTCTGTTCATTTCTGGGAGACATGTCTTCCTGCTACTGGGGTTGAATACACTCCAGCCTCCTGCCCTAATCGCTGCCCTGCACTTCCCTCTGGTATCATTTTTGGAGTTCCCATGACCTCTTCTTCTGTTGGTTTCTTAGCCTGTGTTTGACCTGAAATCAGAGCTTAAGGCCCAGGTTTGCATGTAGGTGGTTTATTCTGTAGGGTGATCCCATGGGACAGGAGCAGAAGGTCACACAAGAGGGGAAAAGTATACACCAAGGGCGAGCTATTGAGTTGGCCACTGCAGAAGGCAGGTGAGGCTCCATCCTGATGGGGCTATCCAAGGCGCCTACTCCATCCCCTGGCAGTCAAGGCTTATAACAACGGATGGTCAGCCCCTTGTACTTCTGTGATGAGTACGTGATTTGGAGACTGCTGAGTTGCCATCTGTGCAAACGAGTCCAAGGTGGCCTGG